GGTAGGCTGGACGAACGCGCGTATTTGCCAATCTTTAAAAATTAATATCTCGTTAACTATTGCTGCAATCCCAAAATGGTACAGGACTTTTCGACTCAGTATAGTCTGTTCTACCCACCCGTGAAATATTTGGCGGTTATTCTCAGCCACCCGATGTATACACAGATGTCTATATGTATACAGGGTGGCTGAGAATAACCGCATAATATTTAATGGGTGGGTAGAACAGACTATACTGAGTCGAAAAGTCCTGTACCATTTTGGGATTGCAGCAATAGTTAACGAGATATTAATTTTTAAAGATTGGCAAATACGCTCGTCCGTCCGGCCTACCACACCATTGAGTGTACGCCTACAGAACGTCGCGATGGGCGCGCGGGCCGCGGGAAGCGGACGTTTGGGGGCTAGCGGCGGTGTGCGCGGCGCGGGCGGCGGAGCGCTTGCCAACCATCCCCACTCTTCGCGCGGCTAGCTATCGCGATAGCGAATATTCGGCGCTTCAGAAATTAATATTTTGACAGCGAAAATCGGGAAATGATCGAAATCTTTTTGAGAACTCAATTTAGTTCGCTCTAAAGCGTGTACATGCCCGTGTACATACAGAAAAATGTTATAAATATGAATTGTTTTCAGTAAATAATAAGTGTATTTTAATTGTACCAACAACGTTCATTAATAAGATAGAGCGGACTAAACTGAGTCGAAAAGCCTTTTACCAGTAATTTGTAATTTTCGCAATATAGTTAACAAGATATTAATTACTAAAATATTAATTTTCAAGAATTTTTCATTCAAGTACTATCAACTTTACAGAAAAACAGCAAGAGGCGGAAATTGTTTATTTTCTTTTCATAAAGTTCTAGAAATTTTTTCATAAATTTTTATCAACCTTTTAGTGCTGCATTTTCTTATTAACAATTGTTTTTATGAGAAAATACGGTACTAAAAAATTCTGAAAAAATTCCCAGTATACTGGGATACCACTTAAAAAAAAATGCGCCATGCTATCTACCTCCAGGTGGTGCGGAAATGATAACGCTTCGTCAAATTTTTTATTTTATTTTCATAAAGCTCTGGGAATTTTTTAGTACCGTATTTTCTCATAAAAACAGTTGTTAATAAGAAAATGCAGCACTAAAAGGTTGATAAAAATTTATGAAAAAATTTCTAAAACTTTATGAAAAGAAAATAAACAATTTTTGCCTCTTGCTGTTTTTCTGTAAAGTTGATAGTACTTGAATGAAAAATTCTTGAAAATTAATATTTTAGTAATTAATATCTTGTTAACTATATTGCGAAAATTACAAATTACTGGTAAAAGGCTTTTCGACTCAGTTTAGTCCGCTCTATCTTATTAATGAACGTTGTTGGTACAATTAAAATACACTTATTATTTACTGAAAACAATTCATATTTATAACATTTTTCTGTATGTACACCGGCATGTACACGCTTTAGAGCGAACTAAATTGAGTTCTCAAAAATATTTCGATCATTTCCCGATTTTCGCTGTCAAAATATTAATTTCTGAAGCGCCGAATATTCGCTATCGCGATAGCTAGCCGCGCGAAGAGTCGGGATGGTTGGCAAGCGCTCCGCCGCCCGCGCCGCGCACACCGCCGCTAGCCCCCAAACGTCCGCTTCCCGCGGCCCGCGCGCCCATCGCGACGTTCTGTAGGCGTACACTCAATGGTGTGGTAGGCCGGACGGACGCGCGTATTTGCCAATCTTTAAAAATTAATATCTCGTTAACTATTGCTGCAATCCCAAAATGGTACAGGACTTTTCGACTCACAAGTATGGTCTGTTCTATCCACCCATTAAATATTATGCGGTTATTCTCAGCCACCCTGTATAAACATAATATTGCATATGTGATCTTAACATCGGGAACACACGTGTGGCTGCCGGCTGATGTCACACATACGCACTAACACACGCAGGATACTCATATACGCACTACTACACACGCACCGTCGCCATCTTGTTGTTCTCATCATGGCCGAAACCGGAAATCAAGCCGGCCTCAGTTCTCTGGACTGTTTTTGACGAAGTTAGCGATCTAGTATAGTATAGACACCTGTGAACCACAATCAATCACAACTGTTGGCGTTGTTTTGCGAAACCAAATCTTCCCGAACTGCTTCGAAAATAGTTGATAATGACGTAGGGTGGTTCTATTTCCCCACTACTCTAAATCTGCGCAGTAGTATATCACGGGAAGAGCATACCCTTGTCTTTATACCATGCTTCCCATAAATTATGATATGTTGCCAATTTGATAGCTGTTAATTAAATTTTGAATTACAGATGGGCTTTTGGAATCTTATTGTGGGAAATAGTTACTTTAGGTGCCACGCCTTATCCTGATACTCCCACAAATAGAATTTTACAATTTCTCAAATTTGGATATCGAATGGAGAGACCACCAAATTGTAGTCGAGAATTGTATGTATATTACAACCTATTCTTCTTTTAATTAATACGTAGATTTCTCATTTTCATGCATAAATATAAATATCTGGCGCCGAAAATTAAATTCTAGTAATTTCCTTTAAAATTTGCAGTTTTTAATACTAATTTTTTCTTAAAAAAAAATTTTTTTTTCAGATACAGCATAATGTATTCATGTTGGAATATAAGACCACAAAGTAGACCTACTTTTATCGAATTAAAACAAAGTTTAGATAAATTGCTCAGTAATTATTCGGAAAATAAATATTTGAGTTTGTACGATGTTTTATATGAATCAGCTGTTGAAAGTAACAAACCAAAATCGATTAATGCATATTAAAATGTATGGCACACCTATATTAACTAGATTATAACTAACTAATTAAATTGAATTTTAACATGACAATTTTAATAACTTTTACTATGAAAAAGAATCATTTATTATTTCCTAATTATTATACATACAATAATTTATATGATGTATAGTATACATATAAGTTCTTTTACAAACAAATCTCAGTAAACCAAAGCGTAACTGTAGTAATAATATAAGTAACTTTTGGATTTAAATTTAGGTACAACTCACCTGGTAACCTGATTAATTATGGTATTATCCCTTTCACAAAGCAGTTAACCAATGTTCAACTTATTTCTCATCTCTTTCCAATTCTAATAATCTTAAAGTCCTGTTTACGGTACTACAACTTTGTCCGAGTTCTTAGATCCAGGAACGATTAGCTAATAAACATGTAGCTTTTGCAGAAAAAAAATAAGTTTATTGGCTACACATTTCTCGGTCCGAGAATTCGAGTTTTAGCACCATGGACACAAAGCTTTTCAGTCTGAATCTACAATAGTTCTAGTTTAAACCCAGTCATCAAATCCCGATTCACTTCGAAGTGAAATAAAATTTTTTAGATGTAAACGGATTAATTCACTTAATCTTTATTTAACATTATTTTTCCTCACGCGTGCATGTAATATGCCCTATACCGCAACGCTTTTGCGTGCGGTAAATAGCCAATATCTCAAGCCGTTGAGTTATTTCTCTAACCCCACGCAAAAGCGTTGCGTTATGAAAAATAAGTAAATAATGCAACGCAGTGTTTCATAACGCAACGCAGTGGTAGCGCTCGTACAAATAACAACACGGAGAAACCTATTTAACATTAATTCACAAAAATCGATTTACTTCAATCCTCTTTTCTCAGCGGAGTAGAGTGAATAAGATTGAAATAAGTGTAGTGTAAAAAGGCCTCTGTACACGGTCAGTAATACTATCAGTATCAACGAATATTGACAATATTATTGATTGTGTGTGGTTAATATTAATGGATTGACGTAGAATACTGACGATGATTTGGACTTAAATACATGCTTTTTCCTTAAGATCCATGTCGCCATAGATAATAATATACGTCAAATCACGTCAAACTGAAGTGAAATATTATCAATAATACCTGATCGTATAAGATTATAAAAACTAATGTATACTGTCAGTAATACTGATCAGTAATACTGACTAAGTATTATTGACCGTGTAGGGAGGCCTTAAACGTAATGGATTGAAACGTAATGAGTGTTACCAACATATAATACATAACCATTCTAACAGCAAAAGTAAGAACAGAAACAAATATGTAAATATAAGAGTATAATTTTGAAGCAAATATATTAAATTAATTTTGAAATATAAATGGATCGACGATAAGATGTATATACAGTGGTGTGTAATGTCCGCCGAAAAGCATATACAGACGGCGAACGTCACTAACAGGCAATGCGAAGTGGTTGTCATAACAACCATCTAGCGTCCTGCTCCAAGAAGTGATCACGCGCTTATCGCATGATCAACAGCTGTAACGTTACCTCAAGCGCGCGCGCGCATCGAATTAATATAATTGAGCGAACTGAATATAAAATAAATAGAACAATAAATTAGCAAGTGATACACTTTTAATAAACATAAAACTATATACTTGTGCAAAATCAAGGCACAAATACTAATTATATAAGGATCAAAGATTGTTTATTCAACCTGTAATCACTTAAGTATAAAATCAATATCAGTTTGATAAATAATATAGTAACAACAAATACTAGTCATTTCGCTTAAGTATCTTAATTAAAAACCTCTTAAATAAATAATGAGGTAACGCGACGAGGCATAGCGAGCCGAAACAAAGAGCCGATACATACGGCATAACTACGTGCATAAAAACGAGAGCAACTGTTCGGGCGAATTACCGCTTAAATCAATAGTCAATAAGATGCAGAAATTGCACCGCAGTGTTGTACCTTGCGGGGGCTGTGCCCATCAATGTGTAGCCTCCCGAATTTAACTGCTAACTATTGAAAATTAATAGAAATTAACAAATAAAGAAATACAGAATAATACCGGTAAATAAGCTACACATTGGGGTCAATTCCCCTCACCGCTCAGCATCACCATTCGACATAAACAGAAGTTCCGAGAATTTTCCAGACGATTCTGGAAACAGAAATTCGTGACGCAGTTTCCGGAAAGGACAATCCCCCTTGTCCTCGCAGGGATCACCCCTTGATTTGTATATAAACCGTGTCCGCTAAGAGCGCAGGCACTTCGTTTCTTAGTATTCTAATTTGCACTTCGCTTCACACTTCGGTTTTCGCAATCTAACTTCAGTTGTCGCACTTCTTTTTCGAACAATATTCTTTATTAGATCAGCGGTAAATTCGAACTATATCGGCGCCCGTAATACATATATATATATCTACATTTTGTTCGCATTATTAACAGTCAATTTTTGGTGTAAGTAAACAGTGAAATAAACCTCTTTTTGGTTCAACTCTTCTTCTACTCAATTTAATTACTTTTCTAGTGTCGTAATGTTTCGGCAAATGAAGTGCCTAAGTGTTTCGTGATCGTCTGTGGTGTCCATAATTGTTACAGTGACTTGGATTCTCGGAGAGCTGTAATTTATAATAAAAACGCGTTGTTTCGGGGGCTTCTCTGGGAACGGCCGCTGCGAGTTTTAAGACAAACTCCAGCCGCCTATGGAGCGAGGCTCTAGCGGCTTTCGGGAAACACAAAGCCGCCCCTCGTTTCTCTTGGAGACGCCACCGCGTTAGCTCGCTTGTCACTCGAATCTCGGCTTGGAGTTCGAGGTGCTCGGAGGCCTTCCCGGAAAGGGCCGCCGCGAGTTTCAAGACAAACTCCGGCCGCCTATGGAGCGGGGCTGCAGCGGCTTTCGGTAAACACAAAGCCGCACCCCGTTTCTTCCAGTTACGCTTCCTCTCGGTGTTAGCCATTTGGTTTTTAAAATAACGGCAGCGACAGCTGGTCCACTCGCGAATCCAAGTTACCCAACACCTACGATAATGGTTGCAGGAGAGGGTAAATGCCCCGTAGAAGGGACTCTGGACGTCGGATGGCGTACCGGCGCCTAGTGCGTGACTATAACGCCTCCGCGGAATTCGATCCTCGGGCCGCCAGTGAGCCTAACTGGATACATAAGGAGGTTCCTGTGTATCACCCGGTTCCCGGGAACCTGTCTGCGTACGCTCCCGGTGCGCGCTGGGTACGGGGTAAACCGTGCGTCCGCAAGTCGGATGCTATCAGGCTCGAGCAGGCAGGGAGCGTCAAGGCCCCAGAGGCGATTGTTAAAGCACCACGGGGTATACCCACTATAAGGAGCAGTGAGCCCTTTCACCAAATAGTGCGTCTGGCGGTGTTTTGCCCTCCGCCAGACCCCAGTTACCACGTGGGGCAAATTTGGATGGCGAAACGGGAACCTCGCCCCGCGTCCGTGCTAAGTACCGCCGCGCAGGACGTGACAGGTGGCAGAAATAATAGGTACACTAACTTATTATTTGTTGTTCTTTTTCAATTTGCAAACATATATGTGTTAATGCCATATATGTAATACTCCTATATTGCTAGTAGAGGTCCGACGGCGATGCCATCATCACGGTGCAGACATATAATACCTTCTCTTTCTACAGATGTACGACAGTCTTGCGCGCATGCGTTAGATTTTTCTGAAACGACCAATAGAATCGTATCTCCGAAAAAATAAATGTGTGTATATATGGTATATACTCGTACATACCGTTTACCAAAAATGTTATTCAGGTTATTTATGTGAAAGATTATTTAAGTGAATGGTTCTGTGACAAATATTAAGCAATATTAGGAAATAACTTATCAAATGGAATTATAACAGAAAAGATAAAGGTATGTATGTACGTGGGTTAAAAATGTGTTAACCTGTACTTCATCGAACATACAAGTGTTATGAATAAAACTAAAACATGTGCTTTTACACTCTACGAACTTGACAGTCACGGACAGAATCACGACAGGAATAACAAAAATAATAACGGAATATAAATTTTAGTAGGTGTACATGGACGTAAAGAATAAAATACTCCTGCTATTATATCTTTATCGTTAAACCAAGAATATATAGTGCGCTGAAAGAGGAGGCGGAGCAACGACTCGTTTCCGCATGCGCAGAACACTGCAGTACATCAGGGGGTCTATTCTTGAAACCTAGCGATAATTATCGTATACGGAAAATATCGCACGGTCGGTATCGTATGCGACTTCGAAATCGTATTCTCAGTTACCATGCGATATGTTGTTAGCGGTAATTTTCGTATACGATAATTGTGCAACGTTGCCACGTGTAAGAAAATATATAAACCAATAGGAACGGAGTTATAAGAGAATGTAACAGGTCGTATTTATTTTGAAAGGTTATAATGCTCTATGTATCAAAATAATACATATCATTTACAAAATATTAATAGTGATAATGGCATCAGTATTAAATGCAGTGCAAAAACGCTGTGCATATATTAATGAAGAACAGAAAAATTTACTGATTGGTAAGTAATGTGCTTTCAATTTGTTTAATTTTTCTTAAACTCTAGATATGCAAAATTCATTTTAAGCTTAACAGATTTTCTTTTCAATTTAGAAACGAGCTTTATTTTTACTTTAAAACTTTTCAATTTATAATTAAAGATATAGGTATTACCAATTTAAAAGCAAATATATTTAAAGATATATATGTATTACTAATTTAAAAGCAAATGCGTGTTTATGTATAAAGATAATAATTGAATAAACAATAGCTATAGACCAGTAATAATTATTTATTAATTTTTTAATACAAATATCCTATAATATTTAATTGTTAAATTATAGAATTTATGCAAAAACATCCTGAGCTGCAAAGTGGCAAATTTTCTGCAACATTTACCTTTAAACATGCTCAAAAATTATGGGAAAAAGCAACAGATGAATTACATAAAATACCAGGTGCAGTAAAAAGTTGGAAACAGTGGCGAAAAGTATGT